CCTGGCATCACAGCTCACAGCAACCTCAAGCTCTTGGGCTTGACCAATCCTCTTGCCTTAGCTTCCAAAGTAGCTGGGACTACAGGCCCCTTCCATAACACCTGGCTAGTTTTAAAAACAGGGTCTTGATCTTGCTCAGGCTGGTCTCAAACTCCTGAGCTCAGGCAATCCACCTGCCTGGGCCTTCCAGAGTGCTAGGATTACAGATGTTGACTAACCTGACCCAGCCTTAGGATATTTTCAATAGCATTAAAAAAACTACTTGCAAATATTCTTTCTTCATTTTTATTTATTTCTTCTTATTCTCTGAGCTTATCAGATCATTTTATTTAGTTCAGTGTTTTGTGTTTTGGCTTTTTATGATAATAGCCTGTTTTGTTTTGTTTTTTTGAGACAGAGTTTCACTCTGTTGCCCTGAGTAGAGTGCTATGGCTTCATAGCTCATAGCAACCTCAAACTGTTGGCCTTAAGCAGTTCTCTTGCCTCAGCCTCCCAAGTGGCTGGGACTATGGGCACTTGCCACAATACCCTGCTAATTTTTCTATTTTTAGTGGAGATGGAGTCTCACTCTTTCTTGCTCAGGCTGGTCTTAAACTCCTGAGCTCAGGCAATCTACTGTCTTGGCCTCCTAATATGCTAGGATTACAGGTATGAACCACTGCATCCAGCCAATAAATAGCCTTTCAATGTGAAGCCAGTAGAGCTCATACTTTTTTCTAAGATCTTCTAAGGTCACAATTCCTTTACTATTTAAACTTAAAATTTAAACTGAAAAATTATTTTCCTCTCAGGGCAGTGGTGCTTGCCTATAATCTTAGCTACTTGGGAGGTTAAAGTGGGAGGAGTGCTTGAGCCCAGGAGTTTGAGGCCAGCCTGGGCAACATAGTGAGACCCCATCTCTTTTTTGTTTGATTGTTGAGACAGAGTCTCACTCTGTTGTCTAGGCTAGACTGCAGTGGCATCATCATAGCTCTTTGAAACTTCAAAATTGAGGGCTAAAGCCAGCCTCGTGCTCAACCTCCCCGGTAGATGCTACCATACCCAGCTAATTTTATTATTCATTTGTAGAGATGGAGTTTGGTTCTTGCTCAGGTTGGTGTTGAACTCCTGAGCTCCAGTGCTCCTCAACCTCCCAAAGTGCTAGGAGTACAGGTGTGAGGCACTGCACCTGGCCTAGTGAGAGCCCATCTCTAACAAAAAAATTTTCTTGTTCTCTCCCACCTAGTCTGCCAAGTATTGTAATATAGTGACTTTGAATGTTCTAGAAGGATAGCATATATATTCTTCCATGATAACGTTTTGCTTTTCTGCAAATCTTCTTTCTCCTTATACATGAGACACTTTTCTCCCACACCTCATCACGTCACATTCCTGTATGTTCACAGTGGTGGCAAAGATTAGGGGACATGAGTCACACGGTCTCTCTCCAGGAGGTGAGATGAGAGGAAGAGTCCAAAGCCGCACTGTGTTCCTTGTGCCTCATGGGCTGCCCCCTGGCAAGATTCCCTAGAGCTGACTTCTCTTTACATCCAACAGCCCTGCCTTCATGGTGCCCCCAGAATGTTTGCTTCCGTGATGACACGATGTAGAAGGAACAGGTTCCCTGACAGTGGCTGCAACAGGAAAAGGACTGACTGAGCATCTTTGTAAAAGACAAAAGATTGATACAATCTGAAGAGAAACCAGGGTTGACTGAGCATCTTTGAAAGATGCTCTGGAGATCAGCCTGACCATTCTAGGAATCTGTGACCCGCATGTTTTTAGGACGGCAGTGGAGAAGTAACAGGGTGGTTTCTATTCCTGCTAGTATGTGAAAGTGGTTTATCCCAGTATGAAAGAAAATCTAAATTTTTTAAACTTTATCTTCCTTTTCTCTTTTCTCACCCCATGGTTTAGGTTCATGGTGATGCTTCTTTCTGCGGACAAGGGATTGTTCCAGAAACGTTCACACTGTCTAACCTACCACATTTTAGAATTGGTGGGAGTGTCCATCTCATTGTCAACAATCAGCTGGGTTACACCACCCCAGCAGAGAGAGGGAGATCTTCTTTATACTGCAGTGACATTGGTAAGTAGCACAGGGGAGGTGACCTCTCCACTGCAGTGATGTGGCTGTGTGGCACAGGGGAGGTGACATGTCTCCACTGCGGTGGTGTTGGTGTGTGGCACGGGGGATGTTGCTGGGTTAGACAAGGTATTTGTAGAGAAACCTCTATCTAGTTTACTCAGCCATTACAATGAGCCTCACTAGTTACTCACTCATAGTGAGACTCTGTCTCAAAATAAATAAATAAATAAATAAATATTTACTCACTCATAGTGAGACTCTGTCTCAAAATAAATAAATATTTATTATTATATTACATAATAATAAATATGTTATTATATTATATTATTTATTTATTTATTTTGAGACAGAGTCTCAAGCTGTTGCTCTGGGTAGAGTGCCATGGCATTACAGCTCACAGCAACCTCCAACTCTTGGGCTTAAGTGATTCTTTTGCCTCAGCCTCCCACGTAGCTGGGACTACAGGCACTCACCACCACCACAGTGCTTGGCTATTTTTCTGTTGCAGTTGTTGTTTAGCAGGGCTGGGCCGGATTTGAACCCACCTACCTCGGTGTATGTGGCTGGCACCCTTACCCACTGAGCTATGGGTGCCACCTGCTTATCTTGTTTTAATTTGAGACAGATCTTACTTTCCATCCCAGGCTGGCCTGCAGTGGTGTCATCATAGCTCACAGCAGCCTCAAATTCCTGGGCTCAGATGATCCACAGGAGGCTAAGAGATCCTTGTGCCTGAGCTTCCCAAGTAGCTGGGACTATAGCTGCCTGTCAGTATGCCCAGCTGATTTTTTTTTTTAATGGAACGCTTCACGAATTTGTGTGTCATCCTTGCGTAGGGGCCATGCTAATCTTCTCAGTATCATTCCAATTTTAGTATATGTGCTGCCAAAGCGAGCACTGAGGATTTTTTTTTTTTTTTTTTTTTTGCAGTTTTTAGCCAGGGTTAGGTTTGAACCTGCCACCTCCAGCATGTGGGGCCAGTGCCCTACTCCTTTGATCCACAGGTGCCACCCTGCCCAGCTGATTTTTTAAAAAAAATTGTAGAGTCACGGTCTCATTGTGCTGCCCAGGCTGGTCTCGAAATCCTGGCCTCAAGCGATCCTCCCACTTTGGCCTCCCAAAGTGCTGGGATTAGAGGTGTCAGCCACCATGCCCAACCTCATTTTAAGTTTTGGATCAGACATGTTCAGTAGTCACCAACAGTGATGCCCAGTGAACATTCCTTTCCAAGGTGATCCTTAAATCCATGGAAATCAGACAAGCACAGACCTGAGAGTGAATCACCTTCAATTGTTTAAGTAACCGGATGAACAATCTGGTGAAAGGCGAAAAGCAAAGCAGCTAGTGCAACACTAGAGTCCTTGTCTTCAGGGTGTTCTAATTTGGGGTGCCCGAGGTCTTGGTCGAAACAGATAGGTTCAGTCACCAAATCTGGTGAAAATCTAGTGAGGACTAGGCTGAGACGATTCAAAGTCAATGTGTTTTAATCTGTGAAACTGGCAGTCTTAGGAGCAAGGGTGGGCTTTCATTCCTGTTTCACTGAATTAGAAGAACTGTTCTGTTTTTACACTCAGAGCCTGGACTGGGTGCCTTTCACAGTTGTCTGTGTGAATTCTTGGTGATTAGCCTGATAGAGATACTGAAGGTCCATTGCAGAACTTGTCTTTGGAGAAAATTTATCTTTTTCTAGGATGCATCCTTTAATGATGTTTTTATATCAAGAAGAAAGAAAATAGTAATAATAATAACAAAATAAATACCAACTGTTATGTATAGACAATGTACATGACAGTGTTAAGCATTAGTACTTTATATACATTAACTCATTTAAGCTCCACAACATTTCTTTTTTATTATTTTTTTCTTTTCTATATTTTAGAGTCAGAGACTCACTTTGTTGCCTTTGGTAGAGTGCGGTGGCATCACAGCTCACAGCAACCTCCATCCAGGTCCTGGGCTTAGGCGAATCTCTTGCCTCAGCCTCCAGAGTAGCTGGGACTACAGGCGCCTGCCACAACACCCGGCTATTTTTTTGTTGCAGTTTGGCTGGGGCCGGGGTCGAACCCGTCACCCTCGGTATATGGGGCCAGCACCCTACCCAGTGAGCCACAGGCTCCACCCTAAGCTCTACAGCATTTCTAAGAAGTAGTTTTAGAGATGAGTAGACTGAGATCATGACCTCGTCAAAGTCACATAGTATGTCATGGAGCTGGAACTTGCTGGCTGGACCACAAAGCTTGGGATCTAACCAACCAGCCAGTCTCCCTGCAGGGACTGGGCTCTCTTCCCACACAGGCGGCAAGACTTAGGGAGGGCTAATATGGTTCTGGGTTAATTGTCCGGCTTCACCTTGGTCTTCCCTGCTTAGGGAAGCTCGTGGGCAGTGCCATCATCCACGTCAACGGAGACAGCCCAGAGGAAGTGGTCCGTGCCACACGGCTGGCTTTTGAATACCAGCGCCGGTTCCGGAAGGATGTCATTGTTGACTTGTTCTGCTACAGGCAGTGGGGCCACAATGAGCTGGACGAGCCTTTCTTCACCAACCCAGTCATGTACAAAATCATCAGGTACAATTACACACTTTCCTTTGACACAGCCCCTCCTCCCGGGGTGCGTTATTAGTTTTAATAGACTCTCAGGTGGGATGGCCATCTTCCCCAGTTTGCCTAGGATGTGAAACTTTCAATGCGATTATCTGACTGGGACCATCCTGGGCAGAGTCACCCCACATTCTTCACACTCTATGTTTCCTCTTGGCGTAGAGAAGGGCAACTTGACGGCTTAGCAGATGGGAAGACAGCAGGAGGAGGACTTGGGCACAGCCTTGCCCAAAACTACTTAGCACAGTGTTGGCAGGATCAGAAATAGAACCTGCGTGGTTCGTGTCACAAACCAAAGACATGGACCTGCTTTGCCTCTTGGCTGGAGGAGACACAGGGATTTTTAACAAATGTTCTGAACTTGCTGTCCAGTACGGGAGCCACTAGCCATAAGTGGCTATTGAGCCACTGAAATGCACTGGTCCTGATTGATGTGCAATTAAGGGTGACATCACACCAGATTCTAACAACTTAGTGTGTAAAATATAAACTTGATAGATCACAGTAAGTTTTATACTGATGAGGTATTGAAATGACAGTATTTTGGATTTATTGATATAAATCAAATCTATTATTGAAATTAATTAATTCCACCTTTTTCTTTTTGCCCTTTCTAATGTGACTGCCAGAAATTTTTTAAATTGCACACGTGGCTTGGATTTTCTTTATGTCAGACAGCGCTGACTGAGAAGGTTGATGTGACACAGAGGGAACGCACTGCTTTGCGATTCTTTTTCTAGACACAAGAAGGTAAAATAGATGCCCTCCTTAATTTTCTCATGGATATAAGTGAAAGCAGAGGGATAAACTTGAGGGCATTTTACTGGCCTTTCTGGTCTAACAAGACAGCAGAAAGAGTGCTGTTCTAGGAAGAAGTAATCTGCGTCCTCTGCTTAGCTCTGAATTTAGACTGAATGAGTCCGTGAGGCTCAGGGTTCTATTTAAAAAAAAAATCTATCCTGCTTACCTCTCACTTTTCTCAGGATTAACTACGATAATCTATGAGAACAGACTTTATCGTTTAAAGTATATGGATGTATAGTGGTATTATTAGTTCAAGGATGATTAAAGCAACCAGAAACAGATGCCAGCAACTTTGAGCTGCATACTTTTTTTTTTTGCGTGTTTTTTTTTGGCCGGGGCTGGGTCTGAACCCGCCACCTCTGGCATATGGTAGACAGGATGCATAAGTCCTGGTAATGACTGTTGGAGTTTTACCAATTCTAAGGAAAATATTACTGATTATTTCCACCCGGTTGTAGATAAAAGCTTATAAATATAAATTTGTTTTCTCTTGCTTGCCTGGAAGAGGTTGTTAACTTGTGAGTACCTTTATGACTATGTATAATTGTTCATTTATTTATTTGTTTATTAACACATTTATTTATTTTAGTGTCCGTCACTTCAGAATATTTGTTTTATTAACTTATTGAGGTAGGAATCACAAAGTGCACAACTTGGGGGAGTATGTAATCCTAGCACTCGGAGAGCCCGAGATGGTTGGATCGCCTGATCTTACAAGTTCAAGACCAGCCTGAGCTAGAGCGAAACCCTGTTTCTAAAAACAGCTGGGCAAGGTGGCAGGCAGCTGTAGTCCCAGCTACTCAGGAGGCTGAGACAAGAGAATCACTTGAGCCCAAGAGTTTGAGGTTGCTATGAGCTGTGATGTCACAGCACTCTACTGAGGGTGATAAAGTGAAACTCTGTCTCAAAAAAAAAAAGGAAATAAAGTGCAGGATTCGGTGGTGTTTATTACATTCACATGCTTTGTGACTGCCACTTCTATCTAGTTCCAGAACATTTCCTGAATGTGCGATTATGGTGATGACATTCTATGATGGCTTTGACAGTGACTGGCTCTGTCACTCTTGGATTTTTGCAGATCAAATTGATGTTTTTGTTTTTGTTGCCATCTTTCTTGGACAGAGCCCGAAAGAGCATCCCTGACACATATGCAGAGCACCTTATTGCCAGTGGACTCATGGCCCAGGAGGAGGTGTCTGAAATAAAATCTTCCTACTATGCCAAGTTAAATAACCACTTAACTGACACGGCCCACTATAGCCCCCCCGCCACTAACCTGCAAGCCCACTGGCAGGGCCTAGTTCAGCCAGAAGCAAGAATCACCACCTGGAACACAGGTGTGCCCCTTGACCTCCTGCGGTTTGTCGGTGGGAAGTCTGTGGAGGTTCCAGAGGAGCTCCAGGTCCACAGTCACCTCCTAAAGATGTATGTTCAGGTGGGAACACTGAAATCACGTGTTACTGCTTTTTCTTCTTGCTTGCCAAAGGAATCCATGTTGGTTCAGTGTTTTTGGTTGGCTTATTCTTTTGACAAAGAATATTGTGTATCATTAGGTTCTAGGGACTGAGCCTAGCATTGTTTGGGACTGACAGCTGATTAATCTCATAAACAGATTTTCTCTAATTTTATTTTTTATCCATGTATTTATTTGCTTATGTGTATTTAATATCGACGCATGGAAAACATGCACGTTATAAAAAATACACAAAGACAGGAATGTCTGTTTGATTTTTCCAATCTCTGAGCAAAAAGCACTTCTTTCAGGTGGCTTATAAAAGAAACAAAAAACCAACACACATGGGCAACGCCTCTGGCTCAGTGAGTAGGGTGCTGGCCCATATACCGAGTGTGGTGAGTTCAAACCCGGCCCCAGCCAAACCGCAACAAAAAAATAGCTGGGCGTTGTGGTGGGCGCCTATAGTCCCAGGTACTTGGGAGGCTGAGGCAAGAGAATCGCCTAAGCCCAGGAGTTGGAGGTTGCTGTAAGCTATGATGCCACAGCACTCTACTGAGGGCAATAAAGTGAGACTCTGTCTCTTAAAAAAAAAAAAACCAACACATGTACCCCAAAGGTTCCCATTTAGACCCTTATACATGCTAGGTTTTACATACCATCTTATGTTAGCTATAGGCGAGGGCCGGGTTCAAACCCCCCACCGTTGATGTATGGGGCCAGCGCCCTACCCATTGAGCCACAGGTGCCGCCCCCAGGTTTTCATCTTTCTTAAGCTTTTTTTTTTTTTTTTTAATTGTTAAGCAGGTCTGGGCAGGGTTTGAACCCACCCTCCCTGGTGTGGGGACCTGGCACTCTCACCACTGAGCTACAGCATGCAGCTCTTATCTTCCTTAAGCTTGAAGGAACTTGGGCATCTGCATTATGTTAAAATGCTAACTTTGGTTTTAGATGTGTGTAACAGGCATAGAGGCTATTATAGCAAGCTACATAGTGATTACCCAGCCTTAGAAGTAGGATGTTATAAATACAGTCCCCACATACAGTCTGTAATCCCATCTTCTCAGACCCTAGGGAGGTGTCCACTAACCCTAAGTGCATGTTTGTCCTGCCTGTTTCAGAAGTGTGTGTAATTGCTGTCGTACTCTGACGCAGCTGTCTGCCCTCTCTGTTTTTATTCAACATTCTGGTTTTGATACTTACTATTGTGTTGCATTAAGTTTTTGGAGCTTGATGTGACATCGACTCTTGAAAGTTTCTTTTCTCCTTCCCTTCAACTTTACAGTCTAGAATGGAGAAAGTGATGGAAGGCACAAAGCTGGACTGGGCCACAGCGGAAGCTCTTGCCTTCGGCTCCCTACTTGCTGAAGGTGAGAACTGGCTGTTAGCTGCACGGCTGGTAGAGAAAGATTTAAATGACATTGGCTGTGACCTTTCTGAATTACAGCTACCTCCTGTTGTTTGCATTGGCTTGAGAGATTCTGAAACATGTTAAATTAGCTTTTCTTACCTGACAATTGTATTTGATTGTGGTACAAGTCATGTCAGCAGCCTTCATCAGAGGAGGGACTAAAAAGCATTTATACTCCCCCAATACATTGCTGTTACCTGTTCAAATTTGTGGGACAAGTGATGACTGTCCATTCTTGCCCTATGTTGACTTTTGAATATAGGACGGTATATTTTAATAAGGAGACTCTGTTATGCTAAGGAAAATTCTTAGGATTAAGCTGATGTATAAGAAATTCAGAGTTGCTGTGTCTTATTATCAAGTGATTCATGAGAGTCTGCTTTTTTTTTTTTTCTTTCCTTCTTGCTCAAGGTTTTAATGTCCGTCTGAGTGGCCAAGATGTTGGCCGTGGAACTTTTAGCCAGAGGCATGCAATGGTGGTTTGCCAGGAGACCGATGATACCTATCTCCCTCTGAACCACATGGACCCTCATCAGAAGGGGTTTCTAGAGGTAGGATGTTACCGTGGCAGTCACAAAATCTAGGTGGCCACAATTATGGTTCCAGGATTCTTGTTTTTGAGGCAGAACCTCAAGCTGTTGCCCTGGGTAGAGTGCTGTAGCATCACAGCTCACAGCAACCTCCAACTCCTGGGCTCAAGCGTGTCTCCTGCCTCAGCCTCCCAAGTAGCTGGGACCACAGGAGCCCACCACAATGCCCGGCTATTTTTTGGTTGCAGCCGTCATTGTTGTTTTGGTGGGCCCGAGTTGGATTAGAACCTGCCACCTTAGGTGTATGTGGCTGGCGCCTTAGCCACTTGAGCCACAGGTGCCGAGCCAAAGATTTCATTTATTATCTAATATCATGTCCTTCATACGAAGACCTGGGAGAAACTCCTGTGACCTTGCTGTTGTGAGGAGTTGTTGTCTCCTGAGCCTTCATTGCCTGTGTTGGATTGTATTACTGCCCAGTGTTCCCTTATCAATAATGGCTTTTAGGAGGGGAAGGGAGCGGATGGGGGCAGTGACAGCCTCCATGATCCGTGAGCCACTCCTTAGGGTACGTCCTAGCCCAGCTCTGTTCTGTGTCTCAATCTTCATTTGTCTTCTTTCCCTCCACTTAAAATGTGTACACCAGGGTATATGTTATATACGTTTATAAGCCACCTTGCATGCTTTTTGGATAAATAAAAACATTTATTTATTTTATTTAAATAAAAACATAGAATCAAGAAAATAAGGTATTTCGGTGTACACAGGCGATGGGGCAGCTACATCTGCCTGGGGAAGGCAGGGAGAGCTTGAGAGAAGGAGGCAGATCTGAGCTTAGACGTGAGGGATGTTGGGGGACATCTAGTCTAATTAATGTGGGGTGAACATTCTAGGTGGACACAGGGTACATATGGAAGCTGTGAGGTGAGAAAACCCTACTTGCTCTGGGAACTACAAATAGCTTCACTTGACTGGAGTTTAAGCAACCAGTGTGCACAGATCACATGGAGAGAGAGAGAGAGAAGGTGCTAGATTCTTTTTAAGCAATTAGCTCCCATGGGAACTAATAAAGCAAGGATTCCCACCCCACCTCCACCCACCTCCCACCCCACCTCCACCCATTTATCTTTTCAGAAGGGATCTGCCCCCATGGCCCAAATACTTCCCTTTAGCCCCTACCTCCAACATGGGGAATCAGATTTCAACAGGAGGTTTGGAGAGGTCAGACAAACCGTATAGCACCCTCCTTTCTGAGAGGAATACGGTGATGGATGGAAGCAAAGCTTCCCTCTGCACCCCTCCTCCCTTCGAAGGGTTTGTGAAAACGTGACACGCTGCCCTTGCTGGCTCCTGCGCCCTTTGCTGGCTCCTCTTGGGCAGCCCCTTGCATGACAGCCTTTGGTTCTCTTCTCGGGCATTAGGTGAGCAACAGCCCGCTGTCAGAAGAGGCCGTCCTAGGATTTGAGTATGGAATGAGCATTGAAAGCCCAAAGCTACTGCCCGTCTGGGAGGCTCAGTTTGGTGATTTCTTCAATGGTGCCCAGATCATCTTTGACACGTTCATCTCTGGAGGTTGGTATTAGGGTGTGGGAGGGTAAGGGACGTAGGTCCCAGTCTCACCAGCCCAGGAGAATGGACAGGGGCCACTGCTGCTTATGACACTCCTGAGTGCTGTGGGCCCTCCGGGGACTTGGGGATCACCCTATTACATGCTGAGGCCTCGCAGCTATCAGACAGTTTTTTTGTTTTTTTTTTTTAGAGATAGAGTCTCACTTTGTTGCCCTTATTAGAGTGCTGTGAAGTCATAGCTCACAGCAACCTCTGGGTTTAGGCAATTCTCTTGCCTCAGCCTCCCGAGTAGCTGGGACTACAGGTGCCCGCCACGACACCCGGCTATTTTTTTGTTGCAGTTTGGCTGGGGCTGGGTTTGAACCTGCCACCCTGGGTATATGGAGCCTGCGCCCGACTCGCTGAGCCACAGCGCCGCCCAGTTTTTTTTTTTTTTGAGTCAGAGCCTCAAGCTGTCCCCCTGGGTAGAGTGCTGTGGCATCACTCACAGCAATCTCCAACTCCTGGGCTCTAGCGAGTCTCCTGCCTCTACCTCCTAAGTAGCTGGGACCACAGTTGCCCACCACAATGCCTGGCTATTTTGGTTGCAGCCATCATTGTTGTTTGGCGGGCCCGGGCTGGATTTGAACTTGCCACCTTAGGTGTATGTGGCTGGCGCCTTAGCCGCTTGAGCCACAGGCACCGAGCCTATCAGGCAGTTTAATGAAGGACTATCCCAAGGACTCAGCAGGGCCTTGAAGACCAGTTCCCCTCTCTCCATGCACACCCAAGTGTTGAAGAACAGTACTTGTTGTGTACTATTAGAACTTGAAATCTGTGAAGGAAAAGCTAAGTCTCTCCCCAGATCCTCAACCTAATTTTCTGGGGGTATCTACTATTAGGTTTTGAATATGCAGAACCTCTATAATGTGACCCCCACCAAGGGACTGTAACAAACTGGTCAACACAAGGAGGTCAACATAAGGAACTAGGCCCACTGTACTGATACGCTCATGTGGTGCATGTCCGGTCTATGAAAATTAGGTCAACGTAAGGAGTTGGTCAGTGTGGGGAGGTGGTCAGCTGGGCTAGGAGGAAGGTGGCGGGAGGCGCCCATTCTTCTACAAACCGTGCCTGTGATGAAATCAGAGTGGCACCAGCTGGCTAGGAAGCCGGGCATTCACCTTGCAGTTCACCTTTCACTTGCTACTGTCCAGGACATGTGCCGGTATAGCTTTCTCTCCCAGCAAAGTGGATATTTTCTCCCTAAGGATGGTGTAACAGTGCTAGAAAGTACATGTAAGGAAAACCGTGTTGGGGGCCAGGCAGCAGACTAACTAACACTGGTTTCACTGTCCACGTGGCATCCGCTGCTCCTGCTTCACAGAGTCCTTATTCCCCAGTCCTATTTTTCCAGGAGAGGCCAAGTGGCTGCTACAGAGCGGCATCGTCATTCTCCTTCCACACGGCTACGATGGGGCTGGGCCAGACCACTCGTCTTGCCGCATAGAGCGTTTCCTGCAGGTATGTTGAACGATGCCTTCTGGAGTCCAGGAAGCCTTTTCCTCTTCCCAGGTGCTTACCTAGCTCCTGCAGGCGGCTGAAAGCTCACCTTATACTGTAAGGCCTGGTAGGACTTGAATGGAACTGATTTGAGGCCATGTCAGAGTTTCTTGGAAACATGCTTCAGGTATCACAGTTTAGGGCAGTTAGAGTGGTTCCTGGCACAATGATTATACTACCAAAAAGAAAAAAGAAAGTGGCTCCTATGGGGACAAGATCCAAAGCTTTTTTTGTTGTTGTTGTTTAGAGATAGAGTCTCACTCTGTTGCCCCAGGCTAGAGTTCTGTGGCGTCAGCCTAGTATACAGCAACCTCAAACTCCTGGGCTCAAATGAGCCTCCTGCCTGAGTCTCCAGAGTAGGTGGGACTATAGGAACCTACCACAATGGCCTGGCTAATTTTTTCTGTTTTTAGTAAGATGGGTTCTCACTCCTGCTCCTGCTGTTCTTAAACTCCTCAGCTCATATGACCCTCTGCCTCCCAGAGTGCTAGGATTAGCACCACTAGGATGGTGTTCAGCCAGAAAACTCTAAATAAAGAGAGATAATGGACACAGGGGCTAACCCCAGATCAGATTCTCAGGAAGGGACCTAGGAATCAGTATTTTTCCTTTTTTTTTTTTTTAAGACAGAGCATCAAGGTATTGCCCTGGGTAGAGTGCTGTGGCATCACAACTCACAGTAACCTCAAACTCTTGGGCTCAAGGGATTCTCTTGCCTCAGCCTCCCAAGTAGCTGGGACTACAGGTGCCCATCACAACACCTGGCTATTTTTTGGTTGTAGTTGTCATTGTTTGGCAGGCCCAGGCCAGATTCGAACCCGCCAGTTCTGGTGTATGTGGTTGGTGCTTTAGCCGCTTGAGCTACAGGTGCCACACCAGTATTTTTACTTTTAAAAACTGTTTTCAAGTAATGGTGGTATTTTTATTAAATGATTCATTATCATCAAATCATTGTAAGTAATTTGAAATGGCCTCTAGAAACAGCCATTGCTCTCATTTGGTAAGAATCACTACAAATGCCTCTTCTTATTATTTCCTTATAGTTTATTATGAAAACTTTTAAATATACAGAAAAGTTCAAAAGATTTACAATAAACATTCATATACTAACCCCATAGGATCCATCGTTAACCCCACAGGAAGAGAATATGTTTTTTTTATTTTTGAGGCAGAGCCTTAAACTATCTCCCTTGGGAGAGTGCTGTGGCATCACAGCTCACAGCAAACTCCTGGGCTTAAGCGAGTCTCCTGCCTCAGCCTCCCAAGTAACTGGGACCACAGGCACCTGCCACAACGCCCGGCTATTTTTTTTGGTTGCGGGCATTGTTTGGCGGACCCAGGCTGGATTCGAATCTGCCACCTTAGGTGTATGTGGCTGGCGCCTTAGCTGCTTGAGCCACAGGCGCCGAGCCAGAGCATCTGTTTTTAAGAGTCCATTCCAGATAATTGTTGCAGTCAGCTGTGTTTGGGGCCCCCCTGTGCCAGGTGACACAGATTGGGCCAGTGTCTAGAACTGACAGAACTCTCCTTCGGCTCACACTTCACCGTGCATAAATTTACCTTCTGGTATTTTTCTGTAATGGAGAGAAATGTCTTTTCCTCGTTGAGAATGCTGTGTTTCCCGTTGGTGAGGCTGTTGTCATTGTGACCGAGACAGATGATCTTTCCGTTTCTCTCCCAGATGTGTGACAGCAGAGAAGAGGGGGTGGATGGAGACACCGTGAACATGTTTGTGGTTTACCCCACAACCCCCGCACAGTATTTCCACTTGCTTAGAAGACAGATGGTCCGGAACTTCAGAAAACCCCTCATCGTTGCTTCTCCTAAGATGTTACTCAGGCTCCCTGTAAGTAGAAAAAACTGGCTTATAAGCCCTTCACCTTTTCTCGTTCTTTATACTCTATTTCTCTCTACTTACTATCTCTAGTTATATTTCTAGTTTACAGAAATGTCTTTAGCGTCTTAATGGATTTTCCTGCTTCTTTTATTTTTTAAACCTTTTAATACTGCCAGGAAATATCAGTAGCTTTTTATTTCCCTTGTAATGGAAGATAGAGTAGAGGACATTATCACACTGGTATCCTGGCCTGAGTAGAAAGGACATTTTATATCAAGTTTTAAAGTTCAGATAGTTTTCACACTACTATGTTGATACACGTAGTAACACATTGGGGAATTTAAAATATTTGGGTGAAAATGAATGGTATTATGGTTCTTTATTAAGATTTTTTCCTTTAGGCCAGGTGCAGTGGCTCATGCCTATAATCTCAGCGCTCTGGAAGGCCAAGGTGGGTGGATTGCATGAGCTCAGGAGTTTGATACCACCTTGAGCAAGAGCGAAAACCCATCTCTACTAAAAATAGAAAAATTAGGCAACGCCTGTAACTCAGTGGATAGGGTGCTGGCCATATACACCGAGGCCCGGGCCTGCTAAACAACGACAACTGCAACAAAAGAATAGCTGGGAGTTGTGGCAGGCGCCTTGGTCCCAACTACTTGGGAGGCTGAGGCAAGAGAATCTCTTAAGCTCAGGAGTTTGAGGTTGCTGTGAGCTGTGATGTCTTAGCACTCTACCAAGGTTGACATAGTGAGACTCTGTTTAAAAAAAAAGAAAAGAAAAGAAAAGAAAGAACAATTAGCTAGGCATTGTGGGGAGCACCTGTAGTTCTAGCTACTAGGGAGGCTGAGGCAAGAGGATCACTTAAGCCCAAGAGTTTGAGGTTGCTGTGAGGTCTGATGATACCATAATGTTCTACCCAAGACAACACAGTTGAGACTCTGTCTCAAAAAACAGTTTTTTTTTCTATTAAATGGTTTATCCCAGGCAGACTCCTATTTTATTTTATTTTATTTTATTTTTGAGACTGAGCCTCAAGCTGTTCCCCTGGGTAGAGTGCTGTGGCATTACAGCTCACAGCAACCTCCAACTCCTGGGCTCAAGCGAGTCTCCTGCCTCTGCCTCCCAAGTAGCTGGGACCACAGGCACCCGCCACAACGCCCGGCTATTTTTTGGTTGCAGCCGTCATTGTTGTTTGGCCGGTCCGGGCTGGGGATTCGAACCTGCCACCTTAGGTGTACGTGGCTGGCGCCTTAGCCGGTTGAGCTATAGGTGCCGAGCCAGACTCCTATTTTAGTAAGCATAAATATTATAATACACCTTATTCCTGCAGTTTATACTAAGGATTTATTTCCTCCTGGTTTACTTGTTTAAGTGTTCAGTGCATAATGTATTTTTCAAATCACAAAAATATGCTACTTTTTAAGTGGGAGTGTTCAAGATATTTAGTGCTAGTAAGCATATGTTTATCCCATCTGCTATAATTATTTTCAGATTCATATGAGAGTTTTAACTAGGATTAGCATTTAAAAATTTACATTATTTGGCTGTAACTGCTGAAATGAAATAAAATATTTAGAATTTGGCCATTCAAGAATGTTTTGGGGGCTCGACACCCGTATCTCTTTTTTTTTTTTTTTTTAAGGCTGATTTCTTTAACACCCATATCTCAATGGTTATGGCGCCAGGTACATGCACCAAGGCTGGTGGGTTTGAACCCAGCCACGGCCTGCTAAATAACAATGACAACAATAGGAAAAAAACAGCTGGGTGTTGTGCAGAACACCTGTAGTCCCAGGTACTTGGGAGGCTGAGGCAAGAGAATTGCTTAAACCCAAGAGTTTGAGGTTGCTGTGAGCTGTGATGCCATTGCACTCTACCGAGGGTGACATACTGAGACTCTGTCTTTAAAAAAAAAAACATAAAAATGTTTTTGGTGTATGGTGGCTCACTCCTGTAATCCTAGCCCTTTAAGAGGCTGAGGCAGGAGGATCCTTTGAGCTCAGGAGTTTGAGACCAGCTTGAGCAAGAACAAGACCCTATTTCTACTAAAAATAGAAGAATCAGCCAGCATCCTGGTGGGCACCCGCAGTCTGAGCTACTCGGGAGGCTGAGGCAGGAGGATCACTTGAGCACGGGAGTTTGAGGTTATCATGAGCTACGATGCCTTGGCATTCTAGCCTGGGCAACAGAGTGAGGCTCTGTCTCAAAAAAATTAAAAAAAAAATGAAATAAAAAGAATGTCTTGTGCTGCTCCCAAAGGTTTTAGAGTGTACCTTTGGGATGGAGGGGTACAGAAGAAAGCTGGATGGGCTTTGCTGCTGTCCCTTGTGGTTTGAAGCGGTTCCTGGCATTTAGAAGGGAGCAGAGAGGCACTGATCCTCAGGGGCAGCACTATGGCCCTGGAAACAGTGGCTCCTTGAATTTAGTACTGTAGGTATCTTACTTGACCCACGCTAGCCCCAGCCCTGGTGAATATCCGTCACTGTCTGAGACTTCACATGGTCCAGACTATGGGGTGGTCTTTTTTTTTTTTTTTTTTTTTT